AAAGCACGTCCGCTCTCCTGCGCGGAGAGTTGCCATTATGGCCAAAGGGGACAAGAATGACAGCGAGGAAACGACGCACAGTGCCGTTATAAAAGCGCGTGTGTGTGTGTTTGCTCCGCGGGACATCCAACGATTCAACGCCTCTTTCTGTGCCTCGTTACGACACCTACGCATCTACCACTTTCCAAATCCCGATTTAGCTTGGCGAGCGCATTGCCCATATTCTTTTTAAAAAATGGGGAAATGCGGCAGCCGGATGCCACTATGCGGAAGAAATCTATCGAAGGCATCAACAGTGCAGCACAATTTTTTCTCAGCTGTGCCCGAAAAATATTCATTAAATACTACACGCCGCTGTTAGGTCAAGCAGTTTCACTGCAACTTACTTCTTTTTCCCCTTTGTGCCTTACTTGCCTTCTTTTTTTTCTTCCACAGGAAGCCACAAGCTACACAGCAAGACAGTCTCAAGACAGCAAGCATGGCGGTGGGGGGATGGGTGGCAGCGTGGCCGCGAGAAGGGCATGCTTTTGCAGCGGTGGCCGGCCTTGTCGTTGCCCTGCTGCTCCTGTTTGCTCCGCAAGTCGTCGTACCCAAACCAGTTGTCTGTGAGACCAATGTTAAGGTGTTAACTTTGAATGTGACGGACATCCCAATTGACCGGAACTTTGCGGATTCATTTGGAGCTGGACTAGAGGCGGCACTCTGGTGGCGCAATTTCACTGTTGCTGACGGTGTTCATGTAGAGATTGTCAGGAAGGTCACCACAATGCTAACAAGTGGAGCGGTGATAGAAGAAGCGTTGAAAGCCGATAGTAATATTCTTCTTGTGGCAGGCGTCATCGGTGATATGACCGCTGCGATCTCTCTGCCCGTAATTATGCGACATGGCCTTGTCTCGTTTGCCCCGTTCACTGGATCGAGTTTGGTGCGTGGGTGGAACCCCAACATGTACTTTGTGCGTGCCGAACCTGCGGCTGAGCTCCTGGCACTCCTCCGCTACGCCTTGGCCCACCTGCGGGTGCATCGGCTGGGCTTCATGTACCTGAAGGGAGTTTTCTTTGGTGAAAGGGAGTATGCGCAGGCACAACGCGTGATGTCGGCGATGGGCTACAATCTGAGCGGTGTCTTCGGTTTGAAAAGCTCTATGAGTCATGGTGCGAAGGAGGAGGTGTTCGACGCTGCGTGGGAAGCGTTTGCGAATACTCGGCCGCAGGCTGTGATTGTGTTTGGCTCACCGATAGAGGACACCACAAAATTTGTCGAAAGGATGCTAACAGACAAGCGCACCGCTGGAACGTACCTGCTTGCTCCCTCGGCGCTGCAGGATCTTGTTTTGGGTGTG